GAGAGAGAGAGAGAGAGAGACAGCGTGAGCAGGGGAGGGTCAGAGAGAGAGGGAGTCACAGACTGAAACAGGCTCCAGGCTCTGAGCTGGCAGTCAGCACAGAGCGCGATGTGGGGCTCGAACCCACAAACTGCAAGATCATGACCTAAGCAAAAGTCGGACACTTAACCGACTAAGCTACCCAGGCGCCCCAAGTTTTTACTTTTAACATTAGAAACCATATGTATAAATGTATTTATAAATATATTTACTTTATTAAGGCTATATTGTATGCACTATTCAATAAAAAAATTTTAAAACCTATTTTCTGTGTTTCAGATTACTATTTCTAAATAAATATGCCAAATAACAAGAAAATTTCAAGTTCCATTCTATTTATATGCAAATATGAATACTACATTCTGTAGGTATGCATTTACATAGACAATTGTATTTTCATTCAAAACATGTAAGCTGTATTTGCTTATTTGTATTGTGTATTTATAAATTTTTACATTTTCACTAGTAACTAGACCCTTACAATTACATAATTAAAAATTATGATGGCAATACTCTGCTGGGTTTCTCCTTCCTGGTAGTAGATGAATGAATTGAGAAGTGTATATTTGCTATAATAACTCAGCAATAGTAATGTCTACCTTCAGGGTAGAATTCTTGTCAAATTCACAATTAGAATGGGCTCTGCTTCTTAACTCTTTTATATGTCTTAAAAAGCTAATCAGTTCAGATATGTGTATATCAAAAAGCTGTAATTCACTTAATACACTACAGACTTCACAAATTAAATTAGCTACCCTTCCTATTCCAAATAGCCAGTAAAACTGGTGATTTTCAAAACAATATCCAAAGACAATGAAACTATAAATTTTAAAGAGTCAAATTTTACTAAAGTCAAAGAAGAATGATCCAAGTCTTTACGTGTGTGTGTGTGTGTATACATACTCACATATATATACATAGATGTAAACATATATATATATATCGAAATGTACTAGATGATTGCCTCTAAAGATCATAAACCCTGCGGTTAGGAATTTGATTATTTGAGAACAGTGTCTCACCAAAGATTCTCTACCTCAGCAGCTAACATGGAGGAACTAAAGAAGCACTTGCAATGATGCAACAGAAACTTGAAGTCAGGGAATTAAGGAAGTGGAGGAATTGAGAAAAACAACTTTTCAAAAAGTATTATCGTGCCCAGTCTGCTCAAAAAACACACTACTCTCATGCTCAGGGCTTAGACTTAACCACATAAAAAATTACTGGGTGTTCCAAATTCTTTGTGCATACAAATGGTGGCAGAAAAGGTAATATTCCAGAAACAAAATAAAAGAGTAAAAAAAAAAAAAAAAAAAAAAAAAAAAAAAAAAAAAAAAAAAAAAAAAAAAAAAAAAAAAAAAAAAAAAAAAAGGTTGGGGTGGTCTAGTGATATGGATGCCAGGCACAGGCACCCATTATAACACTCTCTCTAGATGCAATATGAAATTTAAAAACATAAGACATATCCTGTCTGCCTTATAACCAGAAACCATATGCCACTCGAGACCAGAAGAGTCCCGGCACGCTAAGAAAATGATGAACATTTACAACTGCAGCGCCATATATATTTATCGGAAAGGAGCTCCCTGAATTGAATAGCCTCTTGAAGGGGACAGGCGCGGCCTCTCTTCTTTTTAAAGTTACTTTTAATAAACTTGCTCCTTCCCTACAGAAGGAATCCGTTGTTTTTCAGTGTACAAGGGGCATAGGCTCTTCTCTATTCGAGCCCTTCCCTTGGCTCCAGGGCATGACTGTAGCCAGGAAAGAGAATGGTTTTTAGAATTAACTGTGCACTTCTAAGACTCGTTTCTCCACTCCACTAGAGAACCTTGAGAAGCACAGATAGGCTGGTGAATCTGCAGGAAATGAGAGCACAGTTGAGCTGTGTCGAGCTGACACTGGAAAGAGAACTTTCTCTCTGCAGAATCCATCCAGAGAGACCTCAGTGGTCTCTGTCCTACAGGTCAAAGCACTGGGCTGGCTGACCTCTATTTCCTAACTGGCTCTTTTGGGAAGGTTAGCTGGTTTCTCATCCTACCTTCTAGGCACGGACAAGGCTTCAAACTCATGCAGAAAGCTCTAAACTTTCTCAGAGTCAAGGTGAAATGTCAAAGTGGTGGTGCCTTAGGCCAAAAGCAAATGTCACTTACTGAGTTTCCGTGAATTTTCAAAATCTAAAATATTTCTTGACACAGTTACAGAGCATGACGTGAGAGATCAAGGAGGAGGGATCTTATCCTTCTCAGAGGTTTTGTGTTTCTGCACAAGACTACGTCTTTCTCCCTAAAAAAGCCTGATCATATAAAACGCATGGTCTTCTTCTTCGGATGCTCTTCGCTTAGGTCTCTCTCATTTCCCCCCTCTTTTTGGTAACTAAACAACAACAAGGATTGTCATTTGTACATAATTATACTGTCAGTTTTTAAAGAAACTACATTTCTGTATTAGCATCTCACCATGGGCTTTGCATTCCCAGTGATTTAAATCTCTGCTAATTTCCTTGTTAACCATATACAGTGTCATGCCACCTTAAAATTTAAAAGTCATTTACTTATTTTAATGTAACAGATGTGCAATCTTCTGGGATTCCGAACCTCCCTTCTCCAAATGCAGCCTCATTGTTTTGCATAATCACCAGGAATGATTAGCCAACATTCAATCTGAGCTACGAGCAATGACAAACAAATGCCTGCCTACCCCTGCATCAAGTGTGTGCACAGTACACACAAACACACATGAGCTACTTTCCTCCATTTCCGCCTTGTAGGAATAAATCCCCAACTGAGACGCATCATTTCGTTTCAGCTGGTAAGACTGTATGATACTAAATATAGAGAATGTGTGTTCTCCTGGTTTTCCTTTGAGATGTGTGAATAATTTAAAAATTAAACCTTCCTACCCGTAACAGGGACTGGGATTCATCCTTGGACTTGTTTTCTCCCGATGCAGGATACTGCTGGGTGAGGGTCCCGGGCTTCTCTCCGCCAGCTGGCACCCCCTGCAGGAATCCCTTGGTCTCCACAGCCAGGCCATAAATGGGTCGGGCCAGATGGGCAGCTTCGACATTGGGGCTATCCCTTAGAGTCTTCGTCTGCTCTTGGGTGCCAGACACCGGCGTCAGAAGCCCCAGGCTTGCCTGAGTGTATGACGGGCTGCCTCGCAGGATGTCTGCCCCTCTCCAAGTCATGTTTCGAAGGTCATCACTTGAACTCTCGGTCCAAACTTTCTCCTTCAGCCCGTCCTTGTCTTCCACCTTCTCCCTCTTCACCACACTCTCAGAAACTGGCTCTCCTATTTTAGAGTCTGGATTGAGCAGACTGTAGACCTTGAGGTCAATTTTGGGCTCCTCCTTAATGGCGGATACAGCATGACCGTCCTCTTCGCCGTTGGCTGTAGTGACGTCCTGTTCCTGGCAGTGAACAGTGTTGAAGTGCTCCAGTAGTGACTGAGTATCAGCAGCTGTAAAACTGCACTGACGGCATTTGTAGCAGCTGTGCGCTCTCCTGCAGAAGAAAACAGTCGTTAGAAATCTAGCATTCGGAAGGGCTTTTAAGAAAAAAGGTCTTGAAGCACCTGAATTTTATCTCATGTAATGTAATAAGCAGAGCAAAATACAGCATTCCCAATACCCAGAAATTGGAACATAATGCACTGGTATTTTTGTCTTTGTTTTTTTATTCTTTTAATCGTTTAAATGTTTTATTTCTTTTTGAGAGGGAGAGTGCAAGCAGGGAAAGAGTAGAGAGAAAGGAAGCCAGAGGATCCAAAGTCGGCACTGTGTCGACAGCAGTGAACCTGACATGAGGCTCAAATTCAGGAGCCTCAAGATCATGACCTGAGCTGAAGTTGGAGGCTCAAGCGACTGAGCCACCAAGCCACCCCTGTCTTTGTTTTTGTTTTGTTTTGTTTTGTTGTTTAGTTTATTTATTTTGAGAAAGAGGAGGGGGAGTGCCTAGCTCAACACAGGGCTCCATCTCACAAACCATGAAATGACTGAACGGAAATCAAGAGTTAGCCACTTGGGGAGCTTGGGTGGCCCAATGGACTTTTCAGCTCAGGTCACAGGCTCAGGTCATGATCTCACAGTTCCTGGGTTGGAGTCCTACATCAGGCTCTGTGCTAACAACTCAGAGCCTGGAGCCTGTTTCAGATTCTGTCTCCCTCGCCCTCAGCCCCTCCTGCATGCTCTCTTTCTCTCTCTCTCCCTCTCTCAAAAGTAAATAAACATTAAAAAAAAAAAAAAAAAAGGTGTACACTTAACCAACTGAGCCACTCAGGTGGCCCTCACTGGCATGTTTTATTTTATATAAAGAATGTGACATTCCCTTTTGTTATATTAACAATTACAGGCATACAAACACATACACACTGATGGACACACTCCAGCCAATTCACATTGAAAACTGGTTCATTTGTTTTATTATTGAAGGACTTGCTTTGTTCTGTTTACTGTAGTTGGATAATCATCAATTCTATAATATTTAACAGGTACTTATATATTTTTAGACTGTTTTCATCAATGGACTTTTCACTTTCTATTTATTTAAACTAAACGGACATTTTTTCTTTATAAATATATATGTATATATGTATCTCGAGTGTTAAGTGCTTTATACAGTTTTTACATGTATCAAAATCTACTTGATTAATATGTTTTCTTTAATAAAATTTAAATTCATATAGACAATGAAATATGGTTGACTGAGCTACATAATCTACTAAATAAGATGTATTAGAAGCTCAAGACTTTTTCAAACAAATTCTATCTATCTGTAGGAACTTAGGAACATTCAGCAAATTGAGTGCTCAGTGTCATGCAGCAGGATAGATGCTGTCTGGATATAGTCATTAAAAGAGAATGTGTGATCACGCCAGTCAGAGTGGCTAAAATGAGCAAATCAGAGAACTCTAGATGCTGGCGAGGATGTGGAGAAACGGGCACCCTCCTGCACTGTTGGTGGGAATGTAAACTGGTACAACCCCTCTGGAAAACAGTGTGGAGGTTCCTCAGGAAACTAACAATAGAACTCCCTTATGACCCAGCAATAGCACTGCTAGGAATTTACCCAAGGGATACAGAAATGCTGAGGCATAGGAGCACATGTACCCCAATGTTCATAGCAGCACTCTCCACAATAGCTAAAACATGGAAAGAGCCTAAGTGTCCATCAACAGACGAATGGATCAAGAAGATGTGGTTTATCTATACCATGGAATACTACATGGCAATGAGAAACAATGAAATCTGGCCATGTGTAGCAACATGGATGGACCTTGAGGGTGTTATGCTGAGCGAAATAAGTCAGGCAGAGAAGGACAAATACCATATGTTTGCACGTATAGGAGGATTAGGAGGAACTTGACGGAGGACCAAGGGGGAGAAGAAGGGTGGAAATGGTGGGGGAAAGGGAGAGAGGCAAACCATGAGAGACTCTTGAATGCTGACAAAAACTGAGGACTGATGGATGTGGGGGGGAGGGGGGGATGGGCATGAAGGAGGGCACTTTGGGGATGAGCACTGAGTGTTATGTAGAAACTAATTTGACAATAAACTATTTGTAAAAAAAATAAATAAATAAATAAAAAAAAAAAAAAAAAAAGAGAATGTGTGAATGTGTGTTTGTGTGTGTTTTCTTTCTAAAGGGCATATACCAAAAGGACTTATTGTTGAATTTCATAGCATCTTCTGCTATTAAAGATGGAACACTATCATGTTAAGACAACTGCTTGATTAACAAAGAACAGAGGCCCTGCCCCCTAAAAGGCATACTGGAAAGAGACACAAATGACCTGGATAAGACACGCTTTTTTTTTTTTTTAAACTATAATAACTTTGTATGGCTCTCCAAACCTCATGAGAAACACTTGCTACTTCACTGATATAGTGTGTTGTGAACTTAAAATAACAAAATAAGTTTTGAGAGCTATTACAGCTGCTACTGAAAGATATGTACTCAGCTACAGACCTGTAGATAACCATCACAAAGTACTCTGCCAGGCAATGGGTACCCACTGGTGTATAGAAGACTTGTAGTCTTTGTCTACCTGGTGTTTAGAGTCTAGCCAGGAAGGACGGTCTTTACGTTAGACTATAAATAAATATAAAGAGTAATATGTGCTAAGAATGGAAAGGATGGGATGGTAATGGGGTTGATGGGCTGTGTACAGTGGTCTGGAAGAGAAAATCAAAGGATGAAAAGGAGTTATTCTTGTTATAGGAAGAGGAAGGGTAGAAGCACATTCTAGCAAGTATGAAATACTGAACAGAGGCCACTGCTACTTTAGAGGAATAAGTAAGAGGAAGTATGTCAGTTAACAAGCCGGAAGGGTCATCTAGAGATTTGAAGACCATGTTAAGGAGGCAGATATCTTCTGAGGCTAAAGGAAGCAACTGCAAGGTCATAAGCACAGAAGTGGCATGGTTAAATGTATATTTAAGTCACTTGGGACCTTAACAGTGTCTCATTCCCTTATGAGACCTGACTGGCAGCTGAATATCCAAAATAATGTTCACATTTTATGGAAGCAAAATTCAGAGGTATTATAACATATAACAAAATCTCACCCAGTATTTGTTCAGAGTACTTAATGCAATGCAAAATGACCTTCTTATCATTGAGAACTTAACACATGGTTGAATAAATATGGATCTTTAATTTCTAATTTTTATAGATTGTTTTCTATCTTTTCTCCTGTTTTTCTCATTGTTTAAGTAGTAAAGATAAAACAAAAGGAACTACAACAAAAGTAAATAATTTAATGATGAACTGACCATAAATATACAATATTATAATTAATTTTCTCAAGTGAAAAAAACCTAACCATTAAGGAGAAGATGTCTATGACCTAGAGGAAGAATCTTGCCCCTAAGGTCAAGGCCAGGAAACCACATAACAGGATTAAGACCACAAAGGACAAAAGACAAGACTGAAATCTAGGAATTGAAATCTATGGGAAGTTCAAGTAAATAACCCTCCTACCAAAACTATATTCAAGTACGTCCCATACTTGATAAAACTGAGATAAACTTGCAATAAAATTTTACAAAACAAACTGTTACATTTACCAGGCTCAATCATACAGAGAAAAATGGATGTATCAGAATGGCTAAAGATGAAAATATACCCAGGAAATACTCTACTGAAGATATACCACATAATCTACTGAGTCACTAAAAACAAACTTCAGGAAGCACGTTTGCAAGCTCCAATCAACCTTCACTCTAGACAGTTCTAATGAGTTCACCACCCACTAGAGCAGTAAGTTTATGGTTTCCTTCAGATGTTGGGGTCTCTGCTTGAAGTCTGTGAAAAGATCTCTTCCTATAAATTGCCATAGCTACTTCTACCAAAACTCATGTTTTATATAAAACAGAAAGTACAAAAAGTATTAAAAAATTCCAAAGCACAAAAACTCTAAAGAACTATAGTCCTGTTATTTCAAGAAATAAAGACAATTAATTCTAGGGCAACAGGAAGGAGAAAGTAGAAGAAATACAAATTCCTAGAGCACCATGCAACAAAATACTTTAAAATATTTAAAAACAAAATATTTATTGGAGAAGGAATTAGTCCATGTAAGAGTATACAGACTCTAGAATACGAAGGCATGCGTTTCAATCCTGGCTCTGTATTTTACAGGATGTGTAACTGTAGATAATTTACTAAATTTGCCCCGGTGTTTTCATTTGCAAAATGAAAATAACAGTGTCTCTTGATACGGTTCTTATGAATATTAAGTAAATAACACCCACAGTAGGTAAGTAAATAAGAGTTAACCAGTATAAATCTTAAAATTAAATAAAGCTCCTCTTTTCTGTGTGAATCTGCCTTCTTTACTTTTGTGCAAAGGAGTTTAAATTTACAAACTAGCATTTTGGTATCATCCTTTTCCATTCCCCTATACACCTTAACCATGACAAACATCGTTCTTAAAACCAAGCTAATCTCCTAGAAGATCCTTTGCTTTAAGACACTGACAGGTGGAATATATTCTATGCCCTTTCTGCCTCATCTAGTGGCGTTCACTGGCCTGAAAGAATGAGGAGTTTAGTAGTCTACTTAATTGTCAAGCTTTACTCTCTTTTCATTCATAGACCCAGAATCTTAAGACTCTGAATAACAAAGATAGAAAGGGTATTACCTGTGTTTTATTAAAGTCTTAGAAGGTGAAGATGCCTTTAGCGGATTCTTTAAGGTGATGGAGAATCATAATATGTCTCAGGAATTAAGATTATATACCTTCAATATCTACTTATTGTGCAATCTTGAAATGTCCTTGAGTCATACTGTTCCTCCACCAAATACAGTACATCCAACCCTTACTCAAAATCTGACTGGTATGTCCTCTTAAATATACAAAGGTGCTGGGCCCCTGCCAAGACAATGAGTTTATCACAAAGTATCAAACTCAGAGAGGGTGTCTGGGGCTTCTAGGTTCTCTGATTCCAAGTTTCTGTTCCCAAACGACAACCCCCTCACTCCTGGCAGGTTTCAGCAAGAGC